GAGCACGGTCTCACCAGGGCCCTTCCCCGTGGCCTTCAGGTGGCTCTGGAGCTTGGACACAGCACAGTGGCAGGAGTGGGCCAGAGTCACCAAGATGTCACTCACAGCTGCTGTCACATCATCTGTCACACCCTGAACAAGCACCAAGGGACAAGCTTGTGGCTTCCATTATCTGGGGGTTTGACACTGTAATGGAACTACAGTGGTAGTTTTTTCCTGTCATGGATGCTTGTTCCTGTAATGTACGTGCTTTGCCCATGGAAATAGGGAAGGTCTCCTTTCCAGGACAAAGCCATCCCAAATGTCCTGTTGCTCTGGTGGCAACTCATGGAAGTTGTTCATTTCTGCGGCTTTATTTGCAAGCTCGCTCCTTTCACCTCTGGTTCAGGCTGCTGAGGCTGCACCAGCAGATCCACTGTGCAGGGAACAGAGGCTCTTTGCCTCTTTGTTCCCTTAAGTATCAGCTCATTTGGATCCTCCTCTGGAAACCACCCTCACAAAACCTTCTATTGATGCATAGATAGCACATAACAGTGATAAAGGGTAGCTGATGTCCAGGTAAAAATCTCAGACTTGTAATAAATTAGTAGTAGTAGTTTAAATTCACTCATCTAATTAGTAGTAGTAGTTTACTCATTAAATTGTATTGCATGTTATATTCTTATATACATATATATGTTATTATAATCACTGTTCTGTTAAGGTTGGGAGACTGTAAGTTGCAGAATAGTTCATTAATCTGTCAGCATTGTAAGCTGATAGTCATGCAGCTTGCAGTTCTAAAGCTGGAAAGACAAATTATTGTGCCTTGCTGAAATAAGTATTTTGTATCTTATTTTTATAAAAAGCTTATTGTCTGATAGCACACGCATAAAGTAACGAAGGGAAGGACAAGGATCGAAGGGTCAAGAACAAGAACGCAGGGGAGACGCTGCTGCAGCGGGCAGCGCGCCTGGGGTACGAGGAAGTGGTTCTGTATTGTTTGGAAAACAAGGCGTGTGATGTGAATCCTCGTGACAACACGGGTTACTGTGCCCTGCACGAGGCCTGTGCCTGAGGCTGGCTGAGCATCGTGCGGCATCTCCTCGAGTACGGCACCGATGTCAACTGCAGCGCTCAGGATGGAACCAGACCAATCCACGACGCCGTCGAAAACGACCACTTGGAAATCGGCCACCTGTTACTGTCTTATGGTGCTGATCCAACGCTCGCAACCTCCTCCGGGAGGACCATCGTGAAAATGACCCACAGTGAGCTCATGGAGACCTTCCTCACAGAGTATTTAACTGACCTGCAAGGTCTCCAAAGGCTTGCCCGTATTCCCGGTGTCTCCGCACATGAAGAGCCTTTCATCCACCAATGCAAACAGCAAAAGACAGGCTCAGCCAAGTTGTACTCCAGCCTCGAGGTTGGCTGCCAAACAGCAGAAAATTAAAGAAAGCCAGAAGACAGATGAGCTGTACACAGACGAAGAGGATTTCCAACATGCATCTCTGCTGCAGAAATACAGCGAGTGTGAGAAACCATCAGGGAAACGTCAGTGTAAAACAAAACACTTGGCACTGCAGGAGAGGAGAAGGAGGTCATCTCTGACAGGGGATGACACCACAGATATCGAAAATGCTGAAGATAAGGTAACGGTAACGAGGAAAGTCAGGAAGCGACCGGAGCCTACTTCAGACTGCGACTCCTCGCCGGCCAAGCCGTACGAGCAGAAGCCGTACGATCGCCTGCAGCAGACTCCCTCATTACTACCCGTCTCCCAGCCCTCGCAGCTGCCGATCGCCAGCCCCCCTCAGGAGACCACCCCGAGCCGGCCGATGCCACCCGAAGCGCGGAGGCTCATTGTCAACAAGAACGCCGGGGAACTGATAAGGGAATAAAAGTTACTGGTTTTGCTTACTGTGCTTGCGTGCCGTGAGTGGAGCAGACGCCTCCCCGGCCGCCCAGAGTGCTGTTTTGCTTATTTGCATTTTAAATAAATCTTCAATAAATTTTATTACTATATTTCAGCCTAATTTCATTTACTTATAACAGACTTATCGGAGCTGGGGACTGTGAGAGATGCAGTTGGACCCAATGAATCCTGATTTTTGCAGCCTGGGGTTCTATTTGTGCAGGTACTACTGAATATGTAACAGTTCTCCTCTAGTTGGCTGGGGCTTTTGGTGTTGCTTTGGTTTGGGTTTTTTTTCATGAATTTCTTAGCAGCTCTGGGTAGAGTTCTGTAACTGTATCTGAAACTCATCCCTTGCATTGGGCAAGAGGAGGTGGTCAGGGTGACCTTCACCAAGATGTTTGCAGAGGAATCCATACCAGATCTCTTCCAGGATGGAGTCATAATGACTGGGAGGGGCTCAAGAAAGGTGTGGGATCTCCTTGAAGTCGATCGTGCCGTGGGGGCTTCTCTAAGATGTGTGTCTCTAAGGCCACCTCTTTGTTTTAGAACACTACGAAGGCTATTCAGACTTGGGAAAAGATATGGAGCAGAAGTCAACTCCAGTTTGGTTGTTCTTAATGAGTTTCTGAGGTTCAGCAGAGACTTTCTGTTCAGCAACATCAGACTCCCAGGCAAGGACTTCTTGGGTTCCTGGGACCAGCACCACTGGGAATGGAGAGCTCGGGGGGCAGCCCCCAGTGCAGGGGCATTTCTGCAGGGGGGCCTGGGGTGCACTGAAGGCCTCAGGAGGGGTCCTGAGCTGGAGGCAATGTGCAGAATGGAGAAGGGTCTGTGGTTGCAAGAGGGTGTTCTCCATGCTGGTCCCGGACCAGAGCGAGCCAAAAACCAGGCAGAGGGGAATCTCCATTGCTGGGAGCTCCCAGATCCGGAAAGGGCAAACTCAGTGGAGGAAGTTTTGTTCTCTGGGTCCTCTTTTCTGCACGAGCTCTTCTCTTGGGGGAAGCCAAGAGCAGAGGTGCCAAAAGCAATGATTTCTTGAGCAAATCTCACACATTTGATGTTTTTGAGGGGCAGAGGCCGGGCTCTGCAGTGCACTGAAAGGACATCCTGGAGGCACAGGGCCCTGGGACATGCTAGAGAGCATCAGGAATGTCTTGAGGGGACATGAGGGCAAAAAGGGGCCTGGAGGCCCCCCAAGAGCACTTGGGTGCCCAGGACTGAGCCGGGCCTGTGCCCCCAGGGACACCCAGTGCCTCCCTGCCCGAGGGCCGGGTCACTGGGCCCTGTTGCTGGGGGAGGGTGCCGTGACAACAAGCACTGGGACCCATTGCTAGGGGCAGGTGGCGGGTGACAGGGGGGCCCTTAGTGACACCCACTGCCGCAGGTGTGGTCAGTGTCACGCAGGACAGCAACACGGGGCCCTTAGTGACACCCACAGCAGCAGGTGTGGTCAGTGTGCATTCGGACAGCGACAGGATAGGACGGGAGCACGGAGCTGGCGAGGAGCCTCTGAGCACAGCCTGATTTTCCCTGCTTCTCTGGCAGCCCTGTGCTGCTGGGGCGTTTCCCCAAAGTTTGCTTGCCCACTTGCAGCCTGTTTATCTCACCCACGGGACGGAGAAGAGACCTCCCTGGGAGGAGGGTGGGGCTCTCCAGGAGAGCAGCTCTCCAACAGAGCTCCATGAGGTGCCATGGGAGGAGGGAGGCACAGGGGGAGGGGTGCCTGGAGTCAGAACTCTGAGATCTGCTGGAAGTGGCAGTGAAATACCACCTGCCGAGGGGCTGCGGATACCCCAGGAATGGGGGGACCCTGGTCCTGTGCCACAGGCTCTCGGTCTGCACCCTGTAGCAGCCTGCAGGAGGCTGTGGGCTCATGGGGAGGGGGAGGCAGAGGGCCGGTTTCCATGTTAAAGGAGCAATCAAGGGCAGGAATTTGCTGACATGGTGTTCTGTCTGAATCGCTGGATTAATCACAGTGCACCATGACGAGTGAGCTCCCTGGGCCTGCCCCTCTGCCAGCCCTGCACAGCCCAGCCTGAGCTCCAGGAGCTCTGGTAACCCCTGCACTGCCTGCCTGGGGGCTGAGGGTCCCCAGGGAGATGGGCTTTGTATCCAAGCCTCTGCAGGGAGCAGTAGGATCTCCTATGCACACCCAGTCAGGGTCTGGAGCAAGGCTGAGTTCAACAGGTGCTGTGCTGGTTTCTGGGCCAGCTTACAGGTTCCTTGCAGCCTCTGTGCCACGTTTGCCTGAGCCACAGCTTTCCTTGCTCCTGTTGGAGGCTGTGTTGGTTGTGCCCTGCTCTGCTGCTGGTGGCTGAGCTGGCAGTGAGCTCTTCCCTCCCTCCCTCTCGCACAGGGTCTCCTCTCCTGGACTTACAGGAGCAGTTCAGCCCTCCCGAGATTGCTCCGCCTCTCCTGGTGAAGCTGGTGGAAGCTATTGAGAAGAAAGGTAAGGGGTAATGCTGAGCACTGGGGAGACTGATAGATCCCAAAATCCCACAGTGAGGGCAGAGGGGGAGACTGATAGATCCCAAAATCCCACAGTGAGGGCAGAGGGGCGGGCTGAGCTCTGTGGGACACACAGCACACAGTTGGCATCATGCTCCTCCCTGGATTGATCCGCTGTTCCCCAGTGCATGGCTTGACCCCACTGTGCCATCCTGCACAGAGGCCTGGGGTGAGGGTGCTGGGTTTGAGCATCTAGCACGCCCTGGATGGGTGCTGGGGTTTGAGAAGTGCTTCCAGCCTGGATCTCTGCCAGAAAGGGGAAGAAAGGTGGAGAAAGGGGGCTACTCAACCAGGAGGGCAGAGATTGGGCACCCACTGACTGCCCTGTTTGTCTGCTGCTGGACTTGAAGGGACTCCCCAGAGGATGGCTTTGAAGAGGGAGATATTTTGGCTGCTGCAAAGACAGTGCTGCTTTGGGGAGGGGGGAAGAGAGGATGAGAATGGGCAGAAATGTTCCTTAGCTCTCCCCTCCCTTCTCCCCAGGAGCTTCAGATGAAGAGGATGGCAATCGAGGCCTTCAATGAGACGATCAAGATCTCTGAGGAGCAGTGTCAGACCCAGGAGAAGTGCAGCAAGGAGTACATCGAGCGGTTCCGGCACGAGGGCAACGAGAAGGAGGTGCAACGGTGAGGATGGGGGAGATGGAGGCCTTCCCTGTCTGGGGAAGGGCTCCAGGAGCTGGAAGGATCCTCCTGGCCCAGCACAGAGCTCAGGCATGCACAGTCCTTGCCTCTCAGCAGCGTGCTGTGGGCTGGAGCTGGCAGGCAGCCTCCTCTGCCTCCCCCACTCCGGCTCACAGCCCCCCCTCTTTCTCCCAGGATCCTCATGAACTCGGAGCAGCTCAAGTCTCGCATCACAGAGATCCACGACAGCAAGATGAAGCTGGAGCAGGACCTGAAGAAACAAGCCTCGGAGAACCGGGAGATCGACAAGCACATGAACAGCCTCAAGCCAGACCTCATGCAGCTGCGCAAACTGCGGGACCAGTACTTGGTGTACGTAGCTCCCCTCCAGCCCGGCCCGGGAGCCATCCAGCTGGCTCCTCCAGGGCTCTGGGGCTCGTTGGACCGGCTGGGAGCCTGTTTGTTGCGGGAGTGAACTCTGCTGCGCTGCCGCGGGGCTCTGAGAGGGGCGGCTGCTTCCCTCTGGTGATGGCCCCGCCCGGGAGCCGCGGCCCGGGCTGAGCTCTGCCTTTCCTCCCCCAGGTGGCTCACGCAGAAGGGTGCCCGGCAGAAGAAGATCAACGAGTGGCTGGGCATCAAGAACGAGACGGAGGAGTGAGTGTCTCCCTGTCCCTGCTCGTGTGGGGGGGCCATGGGCACCTCCCAGCTCCCTGTGTCAGAGCTGAGGAGCCTTCCCTGCTGGAATGGGTGGTGGCAGCAGCAGTGTGGGGGAGATGTGGGTGCCCAAACTGAGGGAGTCTGACCCTGCCTGTGCTCCACTGCAGCCAGTACTCCATGATGGATGATGAGGAGGAGCTGCCCCACCACGAGGAGCGAACATGGTACGTGGGGAAGATCAACCGTGTGCAGGCAGAGGAGATGCTGTGTGGCAAGAGGGACAGCACCTTCCTGATCCGTGAGAGCAGCCAGAAGGGATGCTACGCCTGCTCCGTGGTGTGAGTATCCCGGTGCAGATGTGGAATGGGGCTGGTGAGGGCTGTGTTCCCACACGGCTCCACCTTCCCCTCGCCAGATGATGGAGGTGTCAGACTTTCCCAAAGTCTCCTCTCTGCCTTGGCTCCTCCTGCCAGGGCCAGGTGTATTTCTGGGCTGCTTTGGTGGCCCCTGCTCATGCCCTGCTGTCCCTGTCCCACTGCTGACCTGGGCTCTTTGTGTCCCTGGCAGGGTGGACGGTGACACCAAGCACTGCGTGATCTACAAGACAGCGACGGGCTATGGGTTCGCTGAACCCTACAACCTCTACGCCTCCCTCAAGGACCTGATCTTGCACTACAAGCACACGTCCCTGGTGCAGCACAATGACTCCCTGAATGTCACGCTGGCTCACCCGGTCCTTTCCCAGCCCCCAGCCAGATGAGCAGCCATGCACAACACAACAGCTGCCTTCAGCTTCTCCCCAGGGCGCTGCTTTCTGGTTCTGGACTCTTGCACCCTGTATAGTTGAGTCTCTGTGCTCCTGCTCCTTCAGAGCCTCTGAGATGTCTGTGACCGTTCCTGGTGTCCCTCTTGGTCAGTAGCTGAAACCCGTGTTGGCTGATGGGACAGAAAGGCTGAGCTGTTGATTCCCAGCGGGCTCCAGCCTCTAGGAGGTGGGATCCAGTTGTGATTGAGTTGTTGGGGGCGAGCACAGCCCCCTCCCCTTCCCTGATAAGCAGGTCAGATCCCCTTCTTGCTGGCAGGTCGCCCCACTATGCATCACTGTAGAGCTTGGTTCCCGATTCCTCGGAGCGCTCCGGCTGGGACTGAGGGGCTCCCTGTCTGGATGCTGGAGGAGGCAGAGGAGGAGCGTGTGCATCCTTCAGTCTCGCTTCCCTCGGAGCTCTGGCAGGCTGTGATGGTGTCTGGTATGAGGGCTGCTGCTCTTGCGTGCAGAGACTCATTTAGGAAGGAGAAACCTCCCCCTCCGTGGGGCTCCCCGGCCAAGGTCTCTCCACCTCACAGTCATTCCCTAGTGTCGTAACCACCTCTGGAGTGTTGCTGCCCAGGCAGGGAGGATCCAGTTAGCAAGGGATCTCTTGCCATAGTTGTGCCAGCGAAGCTGTGAAACCCATGTTGGTACCCGTGTTTTTCCTGGCAGGATCTGTGGGGATGCACAGCTCGTTGTTCCTGGCCGGCTTCAGTGACTCTCTGCACACGTAACCCGTTTGAAGCTGGACTGTAGCACTGTAAATATGGTTCTTTTTGTGAGCTTCCCTGGTGCTGGTGTTTGCTGAGCCTGCACTGCCACCCCCAGCGTGGGCAGCAGCTGCCAGGCTGCCCCGGGCCCTGCAGCTCGAGCAGGAGAGGGCTGGAGTCCAACGCACACTACGAGCCCTACACAGAATGAAGGACCTCTCTGCTGCAGGAGGACAGACCTGCTGGGCCCAGGGCATGCTGAAATGTATCTGCATGGTGGTGAACTACGTATGCAAAGCACTTAGAATCATGGGTACTGTATGGGGTCCGGGGCAGGGCTGCCCACCGTGGGCAGGGCGTTGTGTCCGAGTTCAGAGGGCCCGAGGGCAGCCAAGGTGGCTCTGGAAAAGCTTTAAGAGCTGAGCTGAGAGGCTGTGGTGGCATTTGCTTCCCTGGGTTATCTCATCTGCTTGGCTGCTTGGTCTTCTTGATTTGCAGGCGAGGCTTGTTCCTTTTTGGAGGCTGCATCCCAGGGATGGGGTTTTGCTGCTTCTGTTTCCCATAGTAGCTCGGGCTCTGCTGGCTCCACAGGGTGCTGTGTGCTCATCCTCTGCCCTTGATGTGCCACCTGCATTGGGGACCATGCTGTCTCTCCTTCCCTGGCCAGCTCTGCTGCTCACCTTGCCCTGGGCTGGTCCCCAGATCCTTTTGGAGCTGGGATTGCTGGCACAAACGTCCTCCTCTTCTGCTTGTGGCAGCTCTCCTGTGCTCAGTTGTACAGCCCCTGTTCCCTGCTCTGCATGTCCTCTCTGGGCCCTGGTTTTTGGGTCTGGTTTGTTGGTGTTTGATGCTCTGGTGCAGGTGACAGGTCAGGGGAGCTGTGGGTACTGTTTTTGACTTCAGGGATCACTTGGGAAAAGCTGCCAGGGATAATTAAGGGAATTCTTTGGGCTTGAGCACGTGAGAGATGAGAGCATGTGGGAATGGGGCAGGAAGGCTCCATCCTCATAGTGCTCTCCAGTGACCTACTGGTGTCTGTGGAATGGCTGGGTGGGCTGCACCAACACCCCAAAGCTCTGTCAGTCTGCCACACTGGTCAGCGTGGCACATTTTCAGCCTGGGGACTCTGTGCTGCTCCTGTGCTTGTCCCTGCACTTCCATCGTGTCCCTGTGCCACAGGACAGACTGCAGGGGATGGGATCATCATCAGGATGGATGATCCTCAGCCTCTCACCCCATGGGCTCCACGTTCAACACCCCCCCCCCCCCAAAGTGAGCTCAGGGCCAGTCCTGCCAAGGGGAGTTGCTCCCAGCTCATGCCAGGACTTGCTGAACATCTGAAAGTCTCAACTTCAAGCTGTCACCTGTGAAAAATTGAGGAACTGATTTTATTCCAAGCAAATTAAAATGAACAGAGGGTACTAACAAAAGAACTATTTCTGTATATTTACTAACTTATAGGCGTACCGTGGAGACTGTAAGGTGAAGAGTCCTATCTGGACCTCTCACCAGGGAATCTTTCGCAGCCGGGAACAGGGAACAAATTATGAATAAAAATGTATTCCTCTGTGCCATGTGGATACACAGAGAGACCCTCCATGCCTTGCAATGTGAGGATGATGCAAGACCCCCCTGTACGAGCCCAGGGGAGGTATGTTACAACCAGCCAAAAGATAACACCCACTTCCAAAGCAGAGAAATTACCTTTTAAGGCAACAAGCGGACAGTAAAATGAATATTCAACAACTGATATCAAAGGGTACAAAAAGCGCGGTTTTCAAACAGCAGTGTGCTCTTTCTTTGATTCAAAGGTGCACCCAGTACTGGAAATGGGTACCCAGCATTGCAATAAAAATCTCTTGCTATATTTCTTTGTCCTGCAGGTATTTTTGCCGCCTTCGAAATTCCAGAGAAAAGTAACTTATAACAATTTGGGGACCTCGTCCGGGATCCTTGTCCGGTGGCTCTGGGTAAGAGGACCCATGTACCAGGAAGGTGCACCCCGCTGAATTTTGGTGGTTCTGGGACGGGGGCCTTCTGTTCAGAGCGACTGCGACAAAAGGACCCTGAGACAGACGGCTGCAGAACAAAGAAAGCAGGAAAAAATTGGACACATGAAAATTGGTAAGGGCCATTTTAACTCAAGAGGGCTAAAACTACGGGGTGTGTGTATGTGTGCGTGTGAATGAGACGTGCAACTGAGCTCGGGGCGAGAGTGGAGTTCTTCTAACTGCGTTTCCAAGCTTCCGCGAGGAACTTGGCCAGTGAAGGAACGAAGCGCTTGTTGAGACGTAAGAATGAAATACTCTCTGGGGTAGAAACGGGGAAAAACATGAAACACAAAAAGCATAATCAAAACCCAGTGAAAATAGCATGATAAGAGAAATTTAAAAAAGGCAAAGCCGCACCAGCCAGGGGCCGGGGCGTCCGCGGGGAGGGCCGGTAAGAACCCTTAAGCGGTGCTGAGCTGGTGCGGGGATCCGCACGGCGTCTGGGGCGAGGCCGGCCCGTGACTGAGGCCAGGCGGCGCGGTGAAATCGGCCTGAGTGGGAGCTAGACACGAGTAAAACAAGCAACAGCGCGGGGCCACCCCGGGGCCGAGGCTAGCCGAGAGAAGGCGGTGGGGTCGGCCCGGGAAGGCCGGTGGAAACCCGCGGCGAGCAGCGGGGCCGCCCAGCAAAGCGGTCCGGACAGCGCTGGGCACAGGCGGTGTGTGTGTGTGCGGTGTGTCGGTCCGGACAGCGCTGGGCACATGTGCGTGTGCGTGTCTGTGCTGTCTGCACGCGGGTGCACCGACCCGGGCAGCACTGAACAAGGGCTGGCGGAGCCGCTCCGAGCGGGTGCCGCAAGCGGCGGCGCCGGACAGAAGCGAGCGCAGGGTGGCTGAGCCACGCGAGAGAGACGGCGGCGAATACCCCAGGCTGGGAGGAGCCAGGCGGAGAAAAGGTCAGCAGCAGTGGGGCTGGGGGGTCCATGCGGCGTTGGGGGAGCGGCCAGCGGCGGGAGCCCCGCCGGGACGGCCGGAGTGAGCGCTTCGGCGAGTCCAGGCGCAGCGCTGAGCGGCAAAGAGTTCCCAGCCGTCTGAGGGACTTGTAAAAAACAAACAAACAAAAAACCAGAGGGAGTCCCAGTCACGAGACACGGGAGCCCAGGAAACCTCAGCCACCTAACACAAAAGTTTCAAGTTCTTTCTCCCCACCAGCAACGGCGGGGGGGCAAAGAAGTCCCCCGAGCTAGAGGTGGCACGGGAGGGGGGGCGTAGCCCTGCCGAAGTGGCGGGGGAAGGGTCCCTTGCCTGAGAGGGAAGCAGGGCGGGGGTCCCCTGTGCAGGAGCGATAAAGCGATAAGAGAATGTGAAGAACTGAGGAGCTCTCAGAAGCTTCCAAGATTTTTCGGGAACAATCAACACTTTTAAACAGTGTATTTGTTGTATGTGGTGTGTGTATAAATGTGTAAACCTCATGAGGATAACTTAAAAGTGAAATGTGTTGTTTAAGTAGTAAGAAATGTGAACTAATTTACTAACAAATTATTTGTTGAAACAATTGAAGTGTTAAAACCTCTCATTGTGTGCGAGAGGGGGCGGGGACAAATGTGTAGACATTTTTGTGACGAGTACTGAAAAATGAAAATTTGCAGAGACAATAGAAGAGTTTTTGAAGGGATCTATGACAGGATAATTTTTGTTGGTTGAGCATGTGAGAAAAAGTGCAAAACAGAGTGATGTGGAAAGGGGAAGCATTGTTAAAACAGGGGGTCTGTGTGCCAGTCATGACATAAAGCAGAAGTAACTTGAGAGAATTGAGGGGGTGTCGTGGTTTTGCCCTGGCTCAATTTACTTTTATACCCCCCATACCAATTACTACTAGTTGAGAGAAGGTTTATGCAGACAAAAAGAGACTGAATTAAAAAAAAGGTATGAGTATTTATTATTAACAAACTAAAACTAAAGAATTATATTTACAACAATTCTACTTGAGTAAAAGGTACTATGTATTTACAAAAGATACTTCTCCCCCCACCTCCCTTTATATCAGTTCAAGGAGGAGAAGCAGTCTTTTTCTGTTCTCAGAATTCCAGCTCTCTCTCTCTCCAGTAACTCTGCAGCACTTTCGTCGCAGTTGGAACCTTTATCTCTCTCTCATTCTGTGTTGGCCTCCAGGGCTGGGCCTACTCCCCTCCTGGGTTAAAACCGAAGGCTGGGGGTTACCCAGGTCCTGAAGGGTTTCCTTCCATAGGCTTGCAAGGGGACACTTGCTTACTATGGATCTTCTTCCACAGGGTTACAGGGGATAATGGTTTAAGAGTTCACCCCTGTTTCCCTATGGAGGTCCCTCCCCATGGGAGAACAGTCCTTGATTGACTTCTCGGCATGGGTCCAGTCTGGATCCCTTACTCGGATCCCAATATCCCACCTGAGCCATTTTGTGCTCCAGTGTAGGTTCTCTCTAGCACCAGCAGCACGGATCCCACACATGGATCCCAACATCCCTACCTGAACCGTTTTGTGTTCCAGCGTAGGTTCTAATACCCGTCAGGGTCATAAATCTTCAACAGCAGCAGCATGGATCTCTCACTGAGATCCCAAGCTTATCTGAGCCATCTCGCTCCAGCATAAGCATCGATCCCTTCGAGGGTCACAAAGTCTTTAACAGGACTCTGCCTCATCTGAGCCGCTTTTACTCCAGTATAAGGCTTTCTCTGTTAAAGTCACAAATCTCTGGTGCATCCACAAGCTCCTCTGTGAGCCGCATGGGGGGGTCTCTTCACCCCAACAAACTTCTACAGGTGGCAGGGTTTTATTTTCCAGTCTTTACCCTGCTGAAGGGAGGGAGAGCGGAAGGGAGAAAAAGCAGTTCTCCCCCCTTCGAACTTTTCTTCTCTCTCCTGCGACTGCAGCTTTGACCTTGAAAGTCTTGTTATCTCATGGCTGGAATTCTTCTGCAGCGGTTTCTCGTCTAAGCAGTTCATCTTTTAAACTTTTTTTTTCTTCACTCTCTTACAAGAGAGAAGAGAGACTTCAGTACTGCACTCTGCCCCCTCGGCCCAAGCCGGGGGAGGAGGGGGCCTTGGCCCTCCTCGGGCCCACTACCCTTCTACATGGCTGCTGTTCTTAATTTCAACTGCGCCACAACCTTCTCTTCCGTTTTCTTAAAGATGTAATTAGCAAAGGCGTCACTGAACTTTTTGATTGGTTTTTTGTCCGGAAATCACCTGGACAAAACCATCCTCAGAGAAAACAAGAAGTAATAAATTATTAAGATAATGTTGTAAAAGACTAAAAGGCAACACCCTGAGCACTGGATATTATCAGGGTCTTTGAGAGTGAAGGACGTCTAGATAAGAGATAAGTTGTTAAAGGAGAAGAGCCAAAGCAGAGAAAAATGAGGAGGATTGTTGTATGGAAGATGAAAAGGAGAATTGGAGTG